CATGTATATCGGTGTTAGTACACATGACACATAACATGTACTATCGATCGGTGTTACGTGTACATTCAGCAATAACATGTATGATCGTGTTAGTATAATCAGCAATAACATGTAATATCGGGTTAGTAGCACATCAAGCCGGAATAACACGTATATCGGTGTTAGTACACATCAGCAATAAGCTGTATATCGTGTTAGTACACATGGCCATTAACTTAATCGTGTTAGTACACATCAGGCCAATAACATGTATATTCGGTTAGTACCATGCAAGCATAACATGTATATCGACTCGGTGTTAGTTTACATCAACAATAACATATTATCGTTTAGTCGCAACAGTATCGGGTAGTCACACATCAATAACACGTATATCGCGTGTTAGTAGACATAAATACAGTATATCTGGGTAGACACATACACTTAAGTAACACTCATACTATTCGTTGTTTAGTATCACATCAGCAATAACATGCATATATCGTGTTAGTACACATAATAACACGTATCTCGGTGTTTAGTACACATCAATAACATGTATATCGGTGCTTCAGTACACATCAGCCAAAAACGTATATCGGTGTTAGTACACATGAGGGCAATAACATGTATATCGTGTTAGTAATAGATCAGCCAGACAATGCATATCGGTGTAGTATACATCAGTAACATGTATAAGTCGGTGTCTTAGTATACATGCGCCATACATGTATATGCGATCGGGTGTTAGATTAATATCAGTAATACATGTATATCAGGTGTATACACATCATTAATAAATGCATCATCGGTGCTAGCTACAGACTTCTTCACTGCCGTACAGTGTCGCGGCGTGCATCGCGAGCGATCACAGCTTAATAAGTAATTAATGATTAATTAATAGGTATAGTGGAGAACGCGTTGTTTTCGTCGTCGGGTGGCGTACATCTCGCTGCTTCTAATGAAACGCGCATTGTGTGCTCGTCGCGCGCAGTCGCACGATAAGAGTAGAGCCATTGTATCGCCCGTGCAAGGCGCAGTCAACCTGCATGTCGCGAGATTTCAATCGGGTGACGTTCGCCATTTTCCGTCGCAGTTTGACGGCCTAGAATCGACGAGCAATCAGCTACGAAATTATAGCGTCGGAGAAGTTTCCAGCTTGTGTCTGAATTGCGTGGGCGGAGCACCCATGCCCGCGCGTTTGCAGGCATTGTTTATATGAAAACACCTAAAAATCATTCGCAAGCTCAAGGGCGTTTTTATTGATAATATAAACACTCCGCGGAAGGACTATTCAGTGTTGTTGTGGTGATGCGCTCTGTGGGCATGATGCCTTTCTGTTTCGCGTCGCGATATTTCGTATATAGACGCTGCCGGAGAGACACAACAGGCCTTATATACTATTAACCTAAACGGTTTTTCATTACGAATAATGCGAACCTCTTCAGAGGCCAAGTAGTTATTGTCTTCAAATATTTACTGCAACGTATATTAGCCGCAATTCTTTATTATATATGTGTGGCTTTGTGTAGCAAATTAGATTTGGCGCCCCCTGTGCAACCAGCGATCGCCTAGCCAGCCTGGTTTATACTATATCGCGGGCGACTCACATGATATCCGCCAAAAATGCACGGCTGATATAAGACGGCGTCCGTCGCATATTGGTCGCCTGTGTTAGCTGCAAATTATTTTCAATCCGTTTACGCCTAATATATGTGGCGTAGCGGCTCTTACAGGCGCGATACGGGGCCATTATATGCTCTCTGTGTTTCTACACGCCGTGCGTATCTATTCATTTGAAAATAATCAATTGATGATAAAACGATTGATTGCGGCTATACGCATGCGCCGGCATGCGCGCACTGTAATCTGTATGCGAGCAGAGCACGATCTCGATCTGCACACGTCAGTTGCTGTATGATGTAGACATCATAATCATTTAGCACTAACGTCTACCGACTGCAATCAAGTCGTCCTCATTACAGCGTCGTTGGCAAACAATACATTAAATCAATGTTTTGTACTGAAGTCGGTGTGCTAGTTTAGAGGCCGTGTGAACGTTGAAATTGAGTGATATGAATTATATATGAGAGTCAAAAATAATGAAATGAGGAGGTTAGAATGGGGAATTGAGAATTAAAAGAAACGTCAGAAGTGAAAAATGTGAAAAATTAGAAAATAAGAATCAAGATATAATAAATTAAAATTGCGAATTTAAAATTAAGAAAATACATTACATACCTCATGCATGCATGCAGTCATGCATGCAATGGCATACATACATACATACATGCATGCTGCCATCATAGCATCATGAAAGATATCATCAAACAACAACAACCACATACATACATACATACATACATACATACATACATAAGCATAATACATACATACATACATACATACAGTACATACATTACATACATGACATACATACATACACTTAGCATACAACATTCTACACATACAACATACAATCTATCATAACATACGTAATACAGTAAGTCATACGACATACATACATACCATATCATACATACATACATCACATACATGACATACACTACATAATACATAATACATACATACGATAGCAAACACTACATACATACATACATACATACATACATACATACATACATACATAC